ATAAGGCTGTTTTGAGTCTACTTCCCTACTGTTCTCCTTGAACTCACAAAGGTATGCAGAATGGTGATTCTGAGATTTTATCATTAAACAAAAACGATGCCTAGATTCTATCAGAAAAAGTAGTCAGTCATTTTTAAAAAGGTGCTCTCCAAGGATTGAAATTTTCAAGTCCAGTGAGACTTCTAGGGTGATACAAGAACAATCAAGGACACATCAGGATAGGGAGGTTCTAGCTTTGCCACTATCTCGGGCAATTCACTTGATCTTTTCCTGCCTGTAGAAGGAGGGATCCTCATCTGACCTAGTCAGTGTTTGGTTGTAATAACTTCTTCCCTAGCCTGGAGACAGATGCTCACAAACCCTGAGGCAAGAAATCTGTACCTGAGGCCGTGCTTGGGGTTCTGTCACACACCTGTTGGATCATCAGTGTCCCTGCCCCCACTGACCTGTGCAGTTTCTCTGCTGCACCAGCATCTGCTTGAGCTCGCTGAACTCGCCGGAGCCTTCCGTGGACTCCTCCAGCGCGTTGTCCTGCTCCTGCATGTCCAGGTCTGGCTGCTCCCCACACGGGTCACCCAGCTCTGAGTCCTGGAAGCCGTGCTCTTCCACTTGTCCCATCAGGGGCTCCGGCGTCTCCAAGCTCTCTGAGCCCTCATCGTTGGTCTGCACCTCAATCTTAATCACGATGCCATCATGGGCTGAGAGAAGGCGGAGGGGGAAGGGGAGGACAGAAGAACCCAGAACACGTTCATTCTACCTGCACTAGAATTTACATTTCAAAAATTCTTATTTTAGAGATCCTAAAGAAACATAATACTAAGTTGGCATTGATTAGACATAATTTTCTGGACACTCAGCCCTGACATTTTGTTAAACTTGCCTATAAGTCTGTAGGCTAATTTCAAATGTCATTACCCACACAAGCATCATTTTACATAAATGGGATTATAGCATGCATTTTAGTCCTTTAGTGCAGTATTTTTTTCCTTTCAATTTGCCTTCCCCTTTCCCTCACTTCCCATTTCACAGTTATGACCTTCCCAGGTAACTCCTGTAACTAACCTGGTATTTTTCTCCACAGTTAGGTTAATGCATTCTTTTTCGAAGCTGCATGCACACCAGGGTGAGGATGATACTGTAATGTGTTCAACCAGTCCCTTACTGAATGAAGAACATTCCCTTTTCTTCCCAGTCTTTTGCCATGGTGAACGATATTGCAATAAACATTTATTTATACATCGAACTACAAAACTGTGGTTTTATTTCTACAAGTCGGAGGACTGGGACTGCGAAGTCAAAAGGCATCTATTCTTCATTCTAATGGATGTCATCAGACTGCTTTCCAACAAGGCTGTGACAATTCAATTCTATCAGCCGAGCAACAGAACATCCTTTCCCTCTCATCCCTGCCAGCAATGGACACCATGCTTTTGAACTTTCCTTAGTCAGATGGGTGTAAAGTGATACTTACGATACTTTAATTCCACTTCCCTGACTAGGGTTATCTCAATATCATTTACTTATTAGCCTTTTAGATTTGATTCCATGCCAATTGTGTTTTGTTCAATTTGTAAGAGTGCTTTGATTTTTGTGTCAAAGATAACCCATTGGCTCTTATCAACATTTCAAATACTTCCCCCAAATCTACCATTTGTCTGCCGACTGTTACCTTCTACTACACAAATTCCTCAGTTTTCATATTGCAAATGTGTCCCTCTTTCTCTTCATGGCTCCTGAGTTTTCTCTCTTAGTTAAGAGGGTCTCTCCCGTCATAGATGGTTCATCTGGTCTCCTAGATTTTATTCCAAGGTTTTTATCATTTAATTATGTACACTTAGGTCTTTACTGCACCTGAAATTTATTTGTTTTGTGTATGGCGTGAGGTAGCGGTTCCACTTTATTTTCTTCCCTATGGGTTGAGTTGTGTCAACATAACCCTTACAGGATGATCACTTTGCTAATTAGGTAAATTATAAATGTATAATGCAAAAACATATCTGTTCATTCACTGAACGCTTACTCAACAGATATTTATTGAGCACAAACTATGCGGTATTCTGGTGGCTTGGGATACACTGGGGACCACAGCAGAGCTCCCCGCCTCATACATCCTACATACGGCAATAAACACAACCAGTGAATTCTATGGTATGTTAGAAGGTGGTAAGTACTATGGAAAAAATAAAAGAAACCAGATAACCAGTGGACAAAGCCGCTGGCTCCTGCCTCTACAAGGCTTCTTCTTTGTTCTACCAAATCCCCTCGTCACTCTCAAGTCAAGTGGACCACATCGCTGAGAAATCAACCAAGGATGCTACTAACTATGCCCGATAACCTCAAACTGGGTTTTCTGACGTTTAGCAATCCTTTAACTCCTCTCTGATTGGCCAACTCAACCCATTTGGGAGTAGACAGAATATATAGCAACTCCCAGGCTGCATCCCCTCCCCCAGGCTAAACGCAGACGGTGGCTACTGTCCCTCAGAACCGAGTCTCCGAAGGTCTCTTCTCACCGTCCAAAGTCATTTGTGTCCTATTCTCTATCCACACTTACCTCTACCTCAAGGTCACCATCTTGACTCGACTCTCCTTCCCATGCTCAGGAAAAGCAGTGTCTCGCTTCTCTCCCCTAAATCTTCTGCTTGTTCCCTTAGTCCTGCCCATGTTTCCCCTTGGATCTGTGCCCCATGACCTGTGTCCCTCTCTTCTCTGTCCCCAGTCCTCATCTCTGCACTAAACCCACAAAATCAGCATGACTCCAGCACCAGAAAAAGATCTTCCTGACAAACTCCTTAAATATTTTACTTCTGCCTGGCTGGTGTGGCTCAGTGGTTGAGCATCCACCCATGCTGGTTCGATTCCCAGTCAGGGCACATGCCCAGGTTGTGGGCCGGATCCCCAGTGGGGGGCATGCAGGAGGCGGCTGATCGATGTTTCTCTCTCTCTCCCTCTCCTTTCCTCTTCTCAAATCGATAAAGAAAAAAAATTTTTAAAAAATTTTTACTCCTTGCCTCCTCCCTAAAATATGTTTTTAAAACTACGTATCCTCTGCACCTTTTATGAATAAACATATAAAATGCTTCAATAACTGCAAAAGATATAATTTCTGGAGTATTGTAAATATTGATATTTTAAAATAAACTCTTCCATCACCCTTGAATGTAGCCAATGCAGCTTAAGAACCCCAGCAATTTAAAACCTACCATTCTTCACTTAAAAAATACACGAACAAGTTCTTCTTTGATAGCTGGAATTTTTATGTCCTTCCTTTCCACCTTGAACTTCTATTTCCATTCCCACTTTGCCCACAGAATTTTATCCTAATAGAGCATATTTTCATGCTTTGAAGCCTTTTACTGATCACCTCATCTACCACTCTGCCTCAGAAATGTGTATGTAAATTGAAAGATTAATTTTTGTTTTCATTTCTAATAACCACAGGGCTCTACATGTTGTTGTTGTTTTTTCCTGGTTTAAGTTACTCTTAGTTATTACTACTGTAGGGTGATAAACAATTATTCAAGATAGAAAAAAAAAAAACTGATTAAAAATGTCTCTCTTACAAGAATGCATAAGAATTTTTTTCTCCAATTAGTTCACTTATCTGAGAACGAATACTCTCATTGTTTGAATGAGACTGAGTTCATAATCCAATCTATTCCTATTTTTTATTTCTATAAATAAAAGCACCAGGGAAGCTCATTTCCATAGATAAATAGATGGGCTGGCAGGAGCTTTGTTAGGGAGGCATTACTTCATTCTTAGAACTTCTGAATTATAATGCTACGAAAGCACATGGTGAATATATCAAAAAAAGTTTAATGACCTATTAGCTGACAACTTAATTAGTTTCTCTTTTAATTTTGTTGAAAGCAAAATATTGCAAACGATCTAACTTGAGAGACAATTTGCCATCTAGGCCCCAGAGCAATGAACTTCTGGTCATGTACCCCAACATCTGGGATTGTTTCATTGTTTCTTGACTCAGAAGACTTTATATGCTTCCGAAATGCCCTGGTCTGTGTTGCTCAGTGGTTAGAGTGTTGGCCCGCACACCAAAGGGTTGTGGGTTTGATTCTTGATCACGGGCATGAACCTGGGTTGCAGGTTCGATCCCCGACCCCAGTTGGGGTGCGTGTGGGAGGTAACCATTCAATGTGTCTCTCTCACAGCAATGTTTCTCTCTCTCCCCCTTCCACTCTATCTAAAAATCAATAGAAAAATATCCTCAGGTGAGGATTAACAACAACGAAAATAATAGTTTAAAAGAACAACGGGCAAAAGACAATTCATAAAGTAAGACATACTAGGGTACTAGTGATCAACAAAGGTATAAAAATATACTCAACTTTACCCTTATAGAAGTCAAATGAAAGCACCAAATTATTGTCCTTTCTACCTATCACTTTAGCAAATAATAAAATGATAAATAATACCTACTATGGCCAAGGATGTGTGGAAACAGGTAGTTTCATGCATAGATGAAGGTATATAAATTGGAACAAGTGTTTTGAAGGGTATTTGCTAATATCTACTAAATTTTTTAATGGGTACTTCCTTTGACTCAGAAAATCTACTTCTAAATAAGTTTCAGACAAGTGTACAAGACATAAAGGACCTTTAATGAAGCACTGAAACATGTAAACACTCTAAATGCACATGGATGGGAGTTTAAATAAATAATAAAATCAATGTGCAGAATACTATAGTCTGCTATTTCAAAAAACAAGATAGATTTACATGTTCTGACAGGTAAAGATGTCAAAGACATATTATTGAAACAAAAAATTTGCCAAACAATATAATTCTATGCTGTTTGGATTTTTCTTTTTACAATGGATATGTATTTATGTATTACTTATAAAATTAAGGATGTGTGTGTATTATGTGTGTGTGTGTGTTACTATTTGCACTTATATTGGAATAAACTGTTGACTCCTATGGGAGAACAGTGTGGGATTTTCACTCTCTGTATATTTTCTTTGCATGTTTTTTGTTTTTTAAATATAGAATGCTTCATGAATTTGCCTGTCATCCTTGCCCAGGGGTCATGCTAATCTTCTCTATATTGTTCCAATTTTAGTACACATTCTGCCATAGTGAGCACTGTATTTTTTTTCTCTTTCTTTTTAAAAAATAATGTTTTTATTGAATTTTTGAGAGAGAGAGAGAGAGAAAGGGAGAGAGATAGAAACATCGATGTGAGAGAGAAACGTGGATCGGCTGCCTCCTGCACGCCCCCTACTGGGGATCCAGTCGGCAGCCCTGCACCTGCCCTGACCGGGAATAGAACCGGAACCTCTCAGTCCATGGGAAGGCACTCAATCCACTGAGCCACACCAGCCTGGCTGTATTTTTTTTTCTTTTTGATGAAACTTTGTTTAATTGGAAAGTAAAAAGCAGTACTGCCACATTAACTTTCTCTACCAGCTCAAAGCAAAGATAGGATGATTGACATTGGTTCTCCAACCTTCTCATGGCTGAACTTCCTGTTAGATTTAAAAACATGTTTGGTATATTAGCTTTTACAATCTTTTAAAAAAGTTATACATGCACATAGGCCAGAGGGTTGAAGAGTTCTTCAAAACCCATTTTTAAACAGCTCCTTTCCACCCCAACCCCTTATTACCCGCTCCCCAGAGGCAAGCACTTTCATTTTTTCTAGCTAATTTTTTGTCATTTATCTCCGTGACTCTGAGTAACAAACTTCTGTTATTACTCCTTGAACTTTCAGTTTTAAGTACAATCCACTGACTTCTCAGAGCTACAGGTGAGGACCATCTCTTCCCCATCCATCCGTACTACTTCCACGATCCCTGATCCTTCCAATGTAGTTTGTAATTCTGACTGGATCCATACTGGGTGCTTCCATTCTTAGATTATGCAAATGTTATTTAAAATTGAACCACGTAGTATATGCTATAAGCACTGTTCTATGCTTGTAAACCTTTTTGCTTTTCCCTGGAGCCAATAATTTTTTCTCTTGCTTGGCTTACTATTAATTATCATGAATTTCCCCCTAACTGTGCTCCGTAACTCTTTTCTCAAAACATGCAAACGTACTGGATATGTCTCAATTTCATCTACTTGAAGAACAAACTTCTGGACCCTTCGGACGTGCCCAGTCTGGCTTGCTGACCTCCAGGCACACAGCTGTGTTTTGGGGCTTCGACAGCAGCGGGGATTCCCTTCACCTCGTGTGTTGGAGCCCCGAACACCTTTCTGGGTTTACGTCCCCGTTTTCAGAAGGGGGGCATGGGAGATGTGACCACCTCAAAGTGCCTCGATGCCACTCTCACACTAAATTAGAACAGTCTGGCTGGATATCCCATTCTAGAATGTGTGAACGGTATTTTCCAATTTTAAAATGTGAAGGAATTTAAGGGCAGTGCTTTACGGTCTTGTAGCTTCCAATATTGCTGAAAAGTCCGGAGTCATTCTAATTCTTGCTCCTCTGTGTGAACCCGTTTTCTCTCTCTAGAAGTCCTCAGGGTCTCTTTTGTCCCCAGTGGCCCTGAAATTCTTGCTGCAGTATCTAAGGTGTGGGTCTCTTTCTACCCATTGTTCTGATGGTGGGTGGGCACTTTCAAACTGAAAAACCATGTCTTTCGGTGCTGGGGATTTTTCTTTCTTTTTTTTTTTTTGGTTTGTATAAAATTTGTTTTTTATTATTTTTATTTCTCAATGATAGTTGACATAGTTTCAGGTGTAGCTGGAAATTTCCATTGAATTATTTTGTTGCTAATCCCCTCCTTCCTGGTTCTGCTATTCTTCTTTTTTTAAATCCTCACCGGAGGATATTTTTCCATTGATTTTTAGATAGAGTGGGAGGGAGGGAGGAAGGGAGAGAGAGAGAGAGAAACACTGATGTGAGAGAGACATCGACTGGTTGCCTCCCGCATGACCCTAACCAGGGCTGGGGACCAAACCACACCTGAGGTACGTCCCCTTGACTGGAATCGAACTCTTGACTCTGGTCAGTGAGTCGGTGCTCCAGCTGCTCAAACTGGCCAGGGCTCTGCTATTCTGTTTTTCTGATATTTCCATTATCTGGACATTGGACTTACGTCCTTTCATGTTCTTATTCTTTCCCTATTTTCTTTTTTGTGCCTTTTGCTTTATTTTCTGAGATATGCTCTCAGAATTATCTTTTAACACTGCTACTGAGCTTCTATCTTGCATTACCATATTTTTAATTTTGAAGAGTTCTTCCTATACTTTAAAAAAAAATAAACATTAGTCCTGGCAGGTTTGGCTCAGCAGTTAGAGCATCAGCCTGTGGTCCCTAGAGACCCAGGTTCGGTTCCCGCTGAGAACATGTACCTTGGTTGCAGTTTGTCCCAGGCCCTGGTTGGGTTGTGCAGGTGGCGGCCACTCGATGTGTCCCTTTCATGTTGATGTTTCTCTCTCTCTCTCTCTCTCCCTTCCCACTCTATCTGAACAAAATATGGAAAAATGTCCTTGGGTGAGGATAAAAAAAAAAAAAAAGCATTATACTTTTGTGTCATGGATGCATTCACTTTTATCTCTCTCAGGATTATATATGTCTGTGTGTATTTCAACGCTCCTTTTTTCCTCTCTGCATGGTCTGTTTTCTCAAAATTTATTTTTTCTGCCTTTTCCCCTTTGGTCTCTGTATATGAGAGGCTTTTCCGAGTGTCTTGTGGTCCTTGGCTGTCCATTTATGTTCAAGTGGAACAAAATTTGGTGCATTGAGGTAGCACCTGCCGACAACGCGCCTCCCAGTAGGATGATTTCACTGGGAGATTTCTTGGCTGGTCCCAAAAGTCTCCCAATAAAACTCTTCCGATATGCTGCCCTGAGGGTGTTTAATCCTGGATGTCATCGTCATTGTGGGAGCCAGGCTGGGGAAGAAGGCTGGTGATCCCAACATCTGGATGTCAACTCTCACTTTTCCCCTTGTTTTCAACATGGTACCTACCTCGCCCTCAACTGTGCCTGGCGCCCACACCCAGAGACCCTCTTGCTCACCCTTTCCGGAGAATTAGCCTTGGTCCTCTTCCAGAGCTGGCAGAGGCAGATGCCAGGATTGGGGGAAGCGAGGAAGGGGGAGGTGCCTTTAAAGGCCTCTTTAAAAGATTTTGAACAGTCCAGCCAGTGTGGTTGAGCTTCGACCCATACACCAGGAGGTCGCCGGTTCAATTCCCAGTCAGGGCACATGCCTAGGTTGTGGGCCCGATCCCCATTGGGGGACATGCAAGAGGTAGCCAATCAATGTTCTCTCTCATCCATGTTTCTCTCTCTTTTTTTTTTGTGGTACGTGCCCCTTGCGGGAACTGAACCCGGGACTCTCTGGTCTGCAGGCGGATGCTCAACCGCTGAGCCAAGCTGGCCAGGGCTCTCATCGATGTTTCTGTCTCTCTCTCCCTCTCACTTCTTCTCTAAAATCAATAAAGGAAACAAACAAACAAGAAAAGACCTTGAACAAATCCTCTGTTTTAGCTTCACCTTTACCCCTATTTCCAAAGAAACCTAAAGTCTCTGGTACTCATTCCTGAGTCTTGAGTGCGGATGGGGTGCAAATCAGGTTTCTCCTCTGCTTTCTTCAGTACCAATTTGGGTTGCGGCTTTCGAAATCAGTCACCACCCAGCCCTTTGCTTTCAGGATTCCACAATCTGGTTGCTGTTGTCTCCTTGTCCATTCTTTTGAAAGTCCCTTCACTCTTGTGTTAGAAGGATTTGGGGAAGGACAGAGTAGACACGTGTTCAATCTGCCATCACTAAATCAAAGTCATTCTTCATGAATTGGCTTTTCAAAAACAATTATTTTTACTAAATAAGAAGTAATACACGCTCACTTCAAAAAATCCTGCAAAGCACTGAGAAATATGATTTTGGTACGTTTGCCTCCAATTTTTTTCCCTCTCTTGTTTACATCGACTTCACATTGTACCGACGTTTTCCGATTCTACATCATTAACTCTCCCATCAACATTTCCAACAGGCTTTAGCAAGCCCCACCTTAAGCAAACAAGTAGGGAGCTATGAAAAGTCTAAATTTTCTAGGCTTTTCCCCTAGATAATTGATCCCCACACTGTTAGGTCTGGCCCAGGGCTGGCTTTGCAGCTACCCTTGTAAGGACAGACAGGTTACCATGAGCATGTTCGGGGCTCTGGTCACTACAGATTTTCAGAACAAACCTGCTCTCCAGAGGCCAGGGCCCCTGGTTTCACACAGAGGTGCGAGTTGAAGGCCAGCCCTGGAGCAATGGTTCCCGTGTCCTCTCCCATCCTCCCTCCCAATCCAGGCTCCAAGTGGCTGGAGATGGTTAGTGGGGCAAATGGCACATTCCAGCCATACAAGGCAGCCTCTGCGAGGCCGTCACTTCCCACAGAAGCTCCGGCCGAGGACGTGCATGTGCCAGAACAAACCAGCCCGGGACATCGTGGGTTGGGGTTCTCTGCTTCTTGATTCTGGCCCCAGTTTGTGGGAGGCCCAACGTTGAAGAGTGAGCAACAAGTGAACAGAGGAAGGGGAGCGACAAGCTCATTCCAGTCCTTCCAAGCAGATGTTAGAAGAACAGCACCTGGACCACAAAACCACACTGAAACGTCAGGCTGGATTTTAGGATTCAACCACAGATCAACTCTCCCACGTCCTCATTCCTCACCCTGCAAGCCTTCTTCCTCATTTCTTCTACTCTGAATCTCTCTCTTCCCGTGTGGCCCTTGTTTGTTTGGTTTTTTTGGGGGGTGGTGGTTTGACCACTCAAACCTTTCAGATACAGACTTACTTTCCTCCAAACAAAAGATCACTCTGCCAAGTGCCATGCTTTGCCTCAACCCCTCCATTCTCATCTGCTTTCAAATCCATCTTTATTGTCTGCCAGATGAATTCAGGATCTCTGGAGAGTAACGACACCAATTTCTCTGAAACATGCCAGCACTTATTTTCCCACGGGGTCCCGTCTCTTCTGTAAGTCATCTCTGCTCTTAGTCCATGGGGTTGACATCCCTCCCTATGTTTCATCCTCGGAGCCAGTTTAGAGGTCCCAGAATCAACGACATTTCCTCAAAGCCAGGCCTGACCGTACGCCTCAGTGAGACCATTCTCCATGATCACCAATGATGTTTGGCTACAAAAGG